ACGAGGTTAAACTGACTTCATTTGACTTTATAAAAAGTATGACTTTAAGCAAATTGCAGGTCTTGCAGTCCTAGTCGAAGTGTCTCTCGAACGCAGTCATCACGTCGCGCTGGCTGGGAGCACTCAGAGCATTCGTCGAATAGACGGCACCACTCACTTGCTGAGTCACGATCACGTGAGTTGAGTCCGCACGATCAATCAGTATCTCGTGAACCTGAACGCTCTACATCGCTTGAACGTTCTGGAAGTGTGTCGTCGGTTCAGTCGAGTAACCTTTCGATAACGATCCTCAGCAACAGTGGTAAACCGTCGACGCGAATTGTCCGCTCGAGTACTCACTCGAAACACTCAACTGAACAGCACCAAAACCGTTCACCTGGTGAAATGTGAGCACTTTTGTGATATATCTTACCAGCAATCACTTCTCCATGTTTTCTCACCTCTAGTCATGTAAATTTCGTTTTATTGCACGTTCTCATGTTAATACACGTATAGAATTGAGCAGGAGAAATTTCAGATCCAGCATAACACAACAATCTGAAAATGGCGAACAGATTCGCAGTCAAATGAATTCCAAGGAAACCAAAAAAGACAGAAAAAAGAAACACCGAAAACAGTCGTCATCATCAAGGTTTTGTTTTTTCGTTTCTTCGCTCATCNTTTCTGCAAAATTCATACTTTCGCTAATATTCTTGCAGTTTTTTCTCAAAATGGAATGATTATGACAGCTCCTGGGATCAGGGATGGATTTTGATGCAGTATGAATGCTGTTTTCTTGGTTATTTTTCTGAACATTTTAACGGCGTTTATCGTAATCGACAAACCGAGATTGTTCGACTATTCCAGGAGGAGTCGAAAAATTGGGAATCTAGAGGCGAGTGGAACGCTTTCGGCGAAAAAGAATGGTCGAGAAGCTGTCGAACAAACGGTGGAAGATTTGGTCTCCCGAGAGAATGATTTGGAGCGAGAGAAGGATGGCGCAAAGCAAGATTCTAATTCGTGAGTTTCAGTCAACAAGTAGTTGACATTTCGTTCGGAAAATGTTCTCCCGCATTTAAAAGAATCTTCAAATGTATTGTTTTGTTTAACAGAAATGGGAATTGAAACGAATATCATGAATAGAAGATGATCGATTCATTAATAGAATTGTGCGGGCAAGCGATTTCTGAGCACGTTACCGCACTATACGAAAGTGGTGGTGGATCAGTGAAGAGATATGGGTATCGTCTATCTTTATGAGTGCACAGTTAATGGAAAAAGTGGCAATTTTTTGATTATCATTTTGTAGGTACGGTCCTCAACCACCCAAGCAAGTCACCGCTGAGGATGCTGAGACAGATGATCATGTGAAGGGATTGAAGACGAAGGATTCGAAATCCAAAAAGGTAACGAATTGATCATTCAGAGATTCGTGAAAATTCTGTCAAACGAGAGCTCTACTGATATGTCGTTTTTTATTCAATGACATAGTAAGTTCAGTCGCGAT